ACACGTCCTTATATTACCTCAGCTGTTCATATGACGCTAACAATTATTAAAACTCTTGATGGATGGAGAGTTAATAAGGAGAAAAGTTTTAAAAAAAAGTTCAAATACGCCGCCGGATAGATAACGTACTATAAATAAACCCGTAGGGTTACCTCCGTTGTAAAAGTACGCCTACTTTTCTCGGCTTCGTCATTTAGAAGTTCATCAGACAATTTAAGGTGTTAATAAGAAGACGCCACCATCTTGGATACAAGTGTCCTGGAAATCTAAAAGGGGACGAATCTGGTTGGTGTCGTTTTGAGAGATGAACAGAATTGCAACATATTACTGCCATTTTGACCGCCATTCTGCCCATCAGTCTGTGACGTCACGAAACCGCCGCTTTATCCACACTATGACATAAATTTGACCCCGATGATACGGAAGATACATGAAGATAGTGTAATGTTTGTCCAATCTGATTAAAATTATCTGTTACATGGCTCCGCCTGAACATCTGAATGTGCTGCGGTCAGGGTCACGTTCAAGTGACCTTTAGATGAACCAATCAGAGGCGCGCAGGCAAAAGTTTGCCAACGAATCGGAATATCATGATTGATAGATAAATAGCGAGAGGTGTCGAACAGTTTAGTTTTCCAAAACAAATATGGTGGTGGGAACTGATGTTTCTACGACGCCAAGGGCAACGTACCCATTGGGTAATAATTGCGTAGGCAACACCGCCATACAGACTTTCTTCTCTAATAAAGCTTCGAATATCTTTTTCTGTTCGGGTTTCAGACTTTCAATCTTAAATAACTTCAGAACTTTCGCATCATTCTCATCAATGTCCGCCATATTTGTTACAACTCCGAGCGCCCTTTTGAAAGAGGGTCTCTGATTGTTCAAAATTTAATGAGTATTTATAAATATAAAGGTCACTTAAACGTGACCCTGACCGCGGCACATTCAGATGTTCCGGCTAGTACGACGTTAACGAAGCCATGTAACATATGATTTTAATCAGTTTGATGTTTGTCATGACCAGGTGATAGAGTTGAATTATAGATACACATACTTCCCTGTTGTAGGCATATAGTAAAGATTTAAACCATGGTCTAAACGCTGATATCGATATAAGTATAATTAAATATGTCAATGCCAGTGCACCACTTGGGCTTCTATGCTGTCCTGTGTTAAGAAGACAATATATCGATACATGTGTGTATACATGCGTATATACATGTGTGAATGTTAATGGTATTCAAATATATACACGTAGTCACTGCGCTCTTTATATGTGAAATTGGCACGATTATTTTAACACGTAAACGTAAAATGGGAGGTTCACCTATTTCATCTATAGAAATATAATATCTTTGTTGTATTATGAGGCAAAATGCATATCAAGTTGTATGCTGATTCACGGGTGTACATTATCTACGTGATATTGTGGGTCTAAAGGGCATGTTTTGTAACCAGTCAAGTTCAGGGCTATCAGCTCTCTTTTGACATGTACTCTACCGTGGCTACTCGGTGATTTGTGTCATGATTATTTAATTTCATCCACATATAAGTGTAATACAGCCTATTGCTACCTCTTTACTATAGTATCGACATTAACAAGCATGCATTTGTACAGGATATCTCAAACGACCTGGTGATTTTATCAAGTTTCTATGTTCATGACAGACGGACTAAAACTCATGCATCATATTCATTGACTGATAACAGTTCAATAGTGTATATACTGTAATTATGTTAATCATTTCTATCAGACATCAGGAAACAAGTTTGAAATGAAAACGTGTTAACATTGATGCAAAGTTAATACATAGGATACAAGTGTAATATTAACAAAGCCTTTCATTTTATCTTAATGGTTTAATGAGAATAAATTAAATGGAAAAATGTCATTAAGAGAGAGCAGATAATTGGTGAGATCAAAAAAAAGGGGGGGGGGGGGATTGGGAGAGAGAGAAGTTGGTTTGTGTTGATTCAAAGAGTAAGTGTGTAGTCCCTTCATAAGGCTTGTAGATATAGAATCTATATGAATAAACCAAATGTCTATCAAGACAGTCCATAAGGTACGGGAGGCGGAGTCAGTAAAAACCAAAACAGATAAATGTTTTTAGGCTAGATCGTTACACGCTTACTAACTTGAGGTTTTTCAAGTAAAACCAATTTTCATGATGTAATACTTACCATAACTTTAGTATGCATATACAATACCTACATCTTTGTAGCCCAAAAACAAAAGATTCAACTATCCCTACCTCCCTACCGTGACGTAACCCATATCTCGATGACAGAGCCACGGAGTGTTCTCCCTTCCTCAAACCCCTTTTATGGCGCCTAAAGGCAGCCGGGATGAGGAGGCAAGGGGATGAATACAGGGTGGGACTCCATAAAGTTATGGTAAGTATTACATCATGAAAATTGGTTTTACTTCAAATACCTCAATTTCATTTCAGTAATAATTACCATCACTTTAGTATGCGAATTCGTCTTACCGTAGTGGAGGCTTCGAATCCAGGCAGACCAGGCTGACGGAACAAACTCGAGACATTCTCAAGGTAGGGAAAAGGTTCAAAGAACCCCCCTAATAAAGCCCCGAAAGTAATTAAAAAATGGAAAACCTCCCCGTGAAACGAGCAGGTGTACCACCGTGGTGCATGATAGCATACTATTTAAAATCACTGAATTACTGTGGAGGAACAGCCACAGACTGTGCAACCACCACCGGTCCAAGGGAATACAATCCATCAGAATGAGAGGCCAAGGACCGGATATAAAAATCCGTGAAGGTAGTCTGTCCGCGCCAGAAAGCTGCGGACATGACCTCCTGAAAGGGGGACCCATTGAGGAGGGCCCATGACGCAGCAAGGGCCCTGATCTCATGAGCTCTCACCTTATACAACGCCCGAACCTGATCATCCGAGTGGTCGTAACCGTACTTGATGACCTGACAGATCCATCTAGACACTGACTGAGAAGAGATATCCTGTTGACCCTGCTTAATGGGCAAAAACAGACGAGATCGAGGACCTCGCCCCCCCNTCTTAGCCATAAAGGCAGGATCGGTGAGAAGGGTAACGGCAGAGTAATTCCTGGACCACCGGAGGCAAGAGGGGTGAGAAGACAAGGCATGAATCTCACTCCTCCTTCGACCTGAGGCCAGGGCAATAAGGAATACCACCTTGTAGGTAACAAACTTCAAGGAGGCAGACGCTAAAGGCTCATAAGGTGCTCGCATCAACGATTCGAGCACCAATGGCAAATTCCACTGCGGAGCCAACTACCGGACCATAGGCCTGTCCAACCTAAACCCCCTAATCAAGGCAGAAAGGGAGGAGGACGAGCCTACCTCCGACCTACCATGAACAGAGAGAACACTAGCAATGGCCGTGCGATAACCAGCGATAGTGCCTGGGACAAGATTGCGGTTCCTAAACAACCAAAGAAGGAAGTTCGCAATCACCTGGACAGTAGCCTTGATCGGATCAACCTTCCTGCCGACACACCAATCAGAGTAAATCTTCCATCGGGACTGGTAGACGGGCTGTTCCCCAGACCACTCCCCCGACCGGCAATGCCCGTCGAGGTAAGCTCCCCACCCTGTCATGGATGCATCCGTGTACAGGGTCATAGTGAGAACCGGCTTGGACAAAGGAACCCCTCGGAGAACATTGTCCTGATGAGTCCACCAGCGTGCGAACTCCTTGACCGACTGGGTCAGGAGTCCGGTCAACTGACCGGAAGGGTAAGCCTGACCAGCATTGGTGACAGGATTAGTGAGCTGCGCGTCACTAATCCCGGTAGACACAGACAATCCCGAAAGAAAGTCTGTCGTCACACCAGGACCTGAACCCGAAAGAACAGGCCCGGCACTAAGACTGTCCCCAACGACAACACCACCTGGAATGCCGTGATCACTGACAGAGTCAGTGACCGGCGGCCGGTAGTCCCTACCCGAAGGCAAGCGCGAAAGCTTACGGGCATTCCCGGCCAATTCGACCATGGACTGTGCCAAGCCAGGGTCGGGCTGCCCCTTCCCTACTCCAGGGAGTTCCTGAACAGGAAGGGCCACCCTAGAGGCAGTACCGCCAGACCCCAGAGAGCTGGTGGCACGACCCCTACCTCTCTGCTTCCCTCGCTTACCGGAAGAAGAGGACGAATCTATCTTACAGCAAGTTGAGGGTAGCTTTGGAACTATGAAGGACTTGTCCTGAGATTTAGTTTGAACAAAGTTCACAAGGCGAAACCTCATTTCAAGGACGACACTTGGGACAAGAATCATGAGGGTCCCGTTCCACGAAGAAATGGGAACACCCATGAGCTGTCCCCCGTCGCTATCCCGACCGAGACATACCCTCCAAAGCGAAAGTAAACAAAGTTTAAAATAACGGTTAAAATAAATAACGTTTGCCGAAACAAACAACCGTCACTGACATTTCCCCATATTATTCAAGACAAACTTCAGGAAGAATTACAGGCAGGGCGTATTGATGGCCCCTTTACGTCTCCCCCCTACAATGAATTTCATATCAGCCCCATTGGTGTGGTCCCTAAGAAAGATCCTGGTAAATATCGAATGATTCACCACCTTAGTCACCCAAAAGGTCTATCGATTAATGATGGAATCAGCACAGAGTCGTCAACGGTGCAGTACGCCACAATATCGGATGCAATTAAGCACATTAAACAGCTAGGCCAAGGTAGTTTTTTTAGCTAAGACTGACATCGAATCAGCATTCCGAATTATACCCATACATCCGGTCGACCGCCGGTTGTTAGGCTTACAGTGGGATGGGAAAATATATTTCGACAGATGTTTACCTATGGGTTTATCAGAAAGTTGTAAAATCTTCGAAGAACTCAGTACTGCACTAGAATGGATAGCTTATACCAAACTGAACGCCCCAGCAGTTGTTCATGTATTAGATGATTTTCTTTTTGTTGCCCAAACTGAAACAGAATGCAAAGCTATTCTTCATTCCTTTCAAGAGATGTGTGAATATATGGGTATCCCATTAGCCCCCGAAAAAACTTTTGGACCTGAACAGGTATTGCCATTCCTTGGTATCACTTTGGACACCAGAAACATGGAAGCTAGACTTCCTCAAGATAAGTTGGTTAAATGCAAAGAACTTATCACCTCATTTAAAACCCGCAAGAAAGTAACCTTAAAAGATCTGCAATCCCTTATTGGTACATTACATTTTGCCACTACTGTTGTCTTACCGGGACGGGCCTTCTTGCGAAGACTTATTGATTTAACTATGGGAGTTAACAAGCCATTCCACCTTATTCGTCTTACAAAGGCGGCCAAGGCCGACCTTGTCATGTGGGAAGAATTTCTACAAGACTTTAATGGTTCCCAGTTCTTCTTAGACGAAAAATGGTTGTTCAGTGATAATATCAAATTTTTCACAGACTCATCTTCTAAAGGCTATGGGGGTATATTTCAGAACCAGTGGTTTTATGGTACTTGGGTCCCAAAAATACGACAGAAAGGCATTAACATAGCCATACTGGAGTTATATCCAATTGTATTAGCTATTTTAGCTTGGGGTGAACACCTTCAACATAAATGCATCTGGTTTTTCACCGACAACCAGGCTCTGATCCCAGTAATTAACAAACAATCATCGCGAGATCCAGTTATCATGCGGCTAATACGCAAGTTAGTATTGTTATGCCTAAAGTACAATATACTTTTTCGATGTGTCCATATCAAAGGTCATGACAACACACTAGCAGATGCTTTATCTCGTTTACAGGTAGAGAAGTTCAAAAAATTATGTCCATCGGCCTCCCCAAAGCCAACATCAGTGCAGACACTGTTGGATCAGGAACTTTACCTATTACGTTGAAAAAATTGATGACTGCTGGTCTGGCACCAGCTACCCAAAAAACTTATAACAAGGTTTTGTCCGACTTGGACAGCTTCTGTACCACTGTGTTGCACACTCCTGCTCATATTCCACTTAGTTATGCCACCGTTGCACTTTATGTAGCTCATTGTCATGAGAAACGTTTTTCGCCCTCTACGATAACTTCACATTTATCAGCGATAGCATACGTACACAATATTGCGGGTCATACAGATCCAACAAAGTCTTTCACTATTCGAAAGCTTTTGGCTGGAGCATCCAAAATTTCCCCAACATATGATACACGTCTTCCCATTACTGAACCAGTCCTTCATAGGTTAGTATCTTCATTGACCTTTCTTTGTCCTGACCAGTACGAACAACATCTTTATC